GCAAGGTAAATTACTATTGAATAAGAATCAAATGTGCTGATGTCATCTGGATAAACACCCTTGCTAATTCATAGTTGGCTTTGGCATTTATTTTGGGTTTCAGGACTGATTTCACATGCAGCGTAGCACGCAAGAGTAATAGTATAGTCTTGGAGAAAGGGCTTTATAGTTTGCAAATATAATGAAAAATATTCTGTTAGCTACTTAATTGACTACCCCAACAATCCTATTAAATGAATAGAGACTATATCAACATATTGACATAATACAATACACTTACTTGAAGTAATGTCTACTCCATTGATAACTGACAATAACTAAAAATATTGACACCAAAATAGGGGTCACATCATACCATGGACATGTTGCTGGTTTGAATCTTAAATGCTCTCTCAAGTTCATGTGTTTGAAGGTTTCCTCCCAAGCTGACAGCACTATTGGGGAAGTGGTAGAATGTTAGAAGTGGAGTCTACTTGGAGGAAACAAGGATTGGTGGTGTTCGCCTGGAGAGTATTTTGGAACTCTAACCCCTTTCTTTTTTTCTCTGCTTCCTGGCTACCGCCAAGGTAAGCAGTTTCATCATAGGCCCAATGCAATGGGACAACCAACCATGGATTTGCAACTATGAGCCCAAATAAATAAAAACTTTTTTTTTTATATTAAGGTTGGAACTCAGGGCCTACTCCTTAAGCCACTTTGCCAGCATTTTTTGTGATGGATTTTTTTCAAGATCGAGTCTCACAAACTATTTGCCCAGACAGGCTTTGAAATGTGATCAATCTGATCTCTGTTTCCTGAGTAGCCAGGATTACATGAGTGAGACACAAGCACCAGCTCAAATAATCTTTCCTCTGTATAATTGCTTTACCCTCGAGGTATTTTGCCAGCATGATAGAAACTGACTAATACTTAACAACAAATTTATCTAAGAAATTCCTTTTAAAATACAGTTTAATAGTGGATGGAAATGTAGCTCTGTGATGGAGTATTTGCCTAGCATGCTCAAAGCTCAGGGTTTGGATCCCCTAGCATTGCAAATAAAAAAAATCTGTTCTTCTATATGTATCTATCTATCTATCTATCTATCTATCTATCTATCTATCATCTATCTATCTATCATCTCCATCTATCCATCTATCATCTATCTATCATCATCATCATCTGCCTGCATATCTAATTTAATAGTTTCATCTCATAGAACAAAATTCAAGCAGTTTTTCAAGCACAATGAAGGCTATGAGTTTTAAAACTACTTATAGTCTAATGAGTTAACTGACTGTAGTTTTGTGGATGCTGCTAGAAGATATGAAACTCCTGGGGCTGGAGATAAAGAACTTTATTACTGGAGTACAGCAAGCCCTGTGAGCATCAGTATGTTGGGCACCCAGTCCCTGAGCTCCAATTTCACAGGGTTAGAGAAAAAAGGGTCAGGTGATACTTGTACACACAGTGGGGTGTGTACACACACTCTAAGTTGCAGGGAATGCCGCTTTTGCTCAGTAAAGAGAAACTATACGTAGCTTCTGTGGCTATATAGAGACCTACCTTTCATTCCACATGGAGGTACTATTATCTCTATCTTCTAAGGCCCTTACAAGGCTATAAAAAATCATTGAAAATGTAGTTTGCAAAAAAATGGCATTTAGTACCTTCTGGTAAGACAGGCAGAAACATAAAAGGTCCATGGAGAATTGTCTCTCAATATCAATAATAACTAAAACCTGTTCATAAGCTCATGAGACAGAAATTTTTTCTCCAACTTCAAGCAAAAATGAATTTTTAAATGTTTTTGGAATAAGAACAAAATTATTTAACAGTTCATATTACATTCATAATGGCTTATGAGAGTCGTAAAATATAAAGTCATAGAAGGACCGTAAATATATATACAGCAAAATCCCTGGATCCATAGGTTCTGTATCTGTGGATTCAACAAATGGGATTAAAAATATTTGTAAATTTTTCATTTACTGAACATGTACATGTACAACATTCTTTTTCTTTTGACATTGTTTCCTAACAATACAATGAAAACTATTTAGGCAGCATTTACATTGTATTAATTGTCATAAGTAACGCTTGAGATAATTTAAAGTGGTAGGAGAAGATATGTGTAGATTTCATACCAATATTGTGCCATTTAATACAAGGGGCTTAAGCATTTGAAAATTTTGTTATCTGCAAGGATCCTTGGAACCAATTCCCTATAGAACAGGGAGGGACACTGTGTAATGTATATATAAAGTATGTGCACACATTCATACATGTATATACATATATATATATATACATATATAATATGTATATATATATAGTATTATTTCACTTATTTCCCCACACACATTTAAAAACGAATTCCTTGAGAATAGTGTGTGTGTGTGAATTGCTCTCTTTAGTTTCTTCATATTATTTTGCATTAATATAATTAGTAAAATAGTGTATATTGTCCATGCAATTCTCCTTTCTTTTTGTCAACATCATCTCCAGAACAATAAGAGTGTGCCTGTAATTCCAGGGCCTAAAAGCCATCAAAACAAGGCAATATTTTTGTACCTTCCACACCTCCTATCCATAGACTGTAGAACAATGCACCACACAGAGTGTAGCTCAGTAAATATTTGTTGCATTGAGTTAATTGGAACTCAGAACCCAGTCCAATAGTTTGGGAGCCAAAGCTGCTCTTAGTGGACATGCTCCATAGTGAATGGTGTCCTTTGAAAATAGAAGCTATCTTTATTTTTTTCCCCTCAAATCCATTTCCAGTCATGATAAGCTCAAAGATTTTTCTTCATTTATGGTGATTTCAGTATACAGATGCACAAAACTGAAGGGAAGATCATTCATCTCAGAAACATATGCTTTATTACAAGATGAGAAATGAATCAAGTGCCTACTTTTTTCTTTGACAATTATTATTTTTTCCCCGATTCTCATTTTTTCAATAGGGACTTAGCGGAGTGAGTTTATGTTTGAAAAACTATTCATGGTAAGTTCCTCCAGAGGCTTATTCAACAACAATGCGGTTTGGAACCACTCTGGTCTTCTCTTCTAAATTAAATATCTCTGTTTACAACAAATGCAGAAAGTACAAAATGTTTCTGTACTCCTTCTTCATCAAAATTACCTTCCTACAGGAACTAGAAAATGTGTGTCAATGTGAATTACCGTCTACAAGAACTACTCTCTTGGCCACTCAAGAGGTCTTGCACACAAAGGGCGAGATGGGGCATGGGGTGGCTATAAGGCGTCGCTGCCTTCCTAGCTGGGTCAAGCCCACCTCAACAGTCTTCTGGGGAGTGGGACAAGGACCAGGCTAAACTTGGGGCTTGGGATATTTCAATGTCACCAAAATCGCAGTCCTAACCCAAAGACGCAGGGAGAGAGGAGCGGAGTGCGTGCGCGAGCAGAGTGCTTACGTCGCAGCGATCTGTGCTGGGATAATTAGGAGTTGGGCTGAGCCCAGTCCCCTTTTAGCAGCAGCAGCCAGAGTCGCAGCAGCAGCCGCCGGAGGGACGCGCGGGATTCGGGCGGCTCGGAGCGCACGGGAGAGGCCGGCGCCGCGCAGCTCAGCAGCCGCCCCGCGCGCGCCACGCCCTGCGGCCCGGGGCGCACAAAGGCGGCGGCCGCCTGCGTGGCCTTGTCCATCCAGGCGTTCGGGTCCCCCCCTCCCTTTTCCTCTCCCGAAGGCGAATATGGCAGGGCCGGGAGAGAACCTGGGACAGCGGTGACCCTAGCTCTGCTGTCCCCACCCATCGTGCTGAGAGAGAGGCAGTGGGCTGCGCTCAGAGGATGTGGTGGTGGTTACTCCAAGTGAGTCCCCGGCCCGGGTCACCACTGCCGCCTCTTTCTCTGCTCGCTCGCATCCCACCCAGAGGAGTTGATGCTGCTGTCGCCCCCGCCACCGCCGCCGAAGCCAAGGCTGATGGATGCCAGGGAGTGCCGCATTGCTTAGCTTCCCCGCCTCCGGGTTTGCTGGTAGGAACCGGCTGCTCTTTCTTCTTTCTTGCTTTGGGGTTCATAGAAAAGATAGAGACATTTTTATTTCATTCTCCACAACTCTCTCCACCTCTTCGCCCCTCCAGTTTTTGATTTGTATGTTCACAGAGAGCTACCCTGCCATTGCCACCTTACTCACTCCCTCTTTCCACCGCAGGAAGTCCTTGAAATAAAGGGACAGAGGAAGGCAGAAGTTGGGGGTGGGTTTGAGGGGAGCCACACTGGTGCCAACGCCACCAAAAACCCTGCTGGTGCCTTATGAGATCACGGTGTATTTAAGAGGGGCGGAGGGAAGGTGCGCTGTCTGCAGAGTCTCCCCTAATTGGATCATATAATCTTAAGTAAAATCCTGCAAAGGTATCTTTTTAAAATAGCATCTTTGAATAAGCACAGGGAGAAATAAGCTTCTTTTCCCCCTCTTTCTGTCTCTCTTTCTGGCAAAGACGCTCTCTCTCCCCGCCTGGAGCTCAGAGCTGAAGAACCACCTTGTTATTATCAGAATTCCCATCATTATCCCGGCAGGCGCATCCTTCAGCAGGGACCGCAGCATCATCACAGTGCTGGGCTGAGATGTGCGTGGGGGTTGTTTTTTGTTACATCTTGGAAGACGAAAGAAGAGGACAGAACCAAGATCGGAACCGTCGCGCTAGGTGGGATTAGGGGTGTTTTGTTGAAGAGAAAAACCTACAAGAAGAGGCAGGCTTGTAGGGCCCGCCAGAGATCCACATCTATTTTAAGGAAAGAGAAGAGGAAACTAACGTGGGTGCTGTTTTCTAGGGGGTTGGGCTAGAAGGGGTAGAAGTTTATATCCCCCACAGAGAAGCTGTAGGGAATCAGGAGCAACAGGGTACTTGATTGGGCAGGAAGACAATCATTTCCTGTAAAAGAGAGGAAGCAGGCAGCAGTGAGGTCTGGGGACCAAAGTGTAGTGGTGTCAAGGGCCAGGTTTGTTGTGGGACAGTCAACAATAGTTTCCAAAGGGAAGGCTCAGGAACAACAGAACAATGACTCATTTACAAGCTGGTCTCTCTCCTGAGACCCTGGAGAAAGCTCGCCTGGAACTCAATGAGAAACCCAGACACGCTGCACCAGGATATCCAGGAGGTGAGGGATATGGTCATCACCAGGCCGGACATTGGCTTTCTGCGACCCGGATGATGCTTTCATCTTACGCTTCTTGCGGGCCAGAAAATTTCATCACTTTGAGGCCTTCCGTCTCTTGGCCCAGTACTTTGAGTACAGGCAGCAGAACCTCGACATGTTCAAAAGCTTCAAGCCACCTGACCCTGGCATCAAGCAGGCACTGAAGGATGGTTTCCCTGGGGGCCTAGCCAATCTGGACCACTATGGCAGGAAGATTCTAGTCCTTTTTGCTGCCAACTGGGATCAGAGCAGGTAAATTCTAAATCTAAACTTAGTATACTAACGATCTTTTTATGCTCCCATTTCCCAGGCCTTATCCTGAGTGGTGTCATAATTTTGCACCTTTGATATTTTTATTTGGGTGGGAGAGAAGAGATATTGGAACTAAGGAATAAATTTTTGGTGGGCACCGTGGGACAAGGATGGGCTTTTATTTTTACTTTCAAAACTCGTCCTTCTTTAATCCACAGTTTATACTGTAGCTTTAAGTGCTCTCCTGTTAATACACTGTGATCTAAGTCAACTTCTAAATGAACCTTCCTAATTTTTCACCTCTTGAATAAGTTCACTGGTGTGGGGAAATGAGTAGTAAACAACACACAGCTTTTTCTCCATGCTCCTAAAGAAATCCTTAAGTTTGGCTCATTGTCCTCACCACCATCACCCTCCTCTTCCTCATCTTCTTCTCTCTTAATTACTGATATTTTATCTTCTAAAAATAACCTGGTGCTAACCCAGAACAAGTAGTTTTATTGCTTGGGAACTTTTCTGCTTGGTGATGTGTAGATGAAGGCATAATATGATGTGTGTCACTTCAATGAGAAGGAAGAGTTTTACCCTCCCTCACTGAGCATGCCTAGTGACACTGAAAATAAAGGCTGACTGGTGTGCTCCTTCTACACCTGTCACTTATATAAAGAATGTGTTCCCTGTCTAATGTGATTTTCCATCCTTTGGAAGGAAGTGGAAAGCATTCAGATATATCAGCTAGTAGGGTTTTTTTGGGGGAAGATTGTTTGCTATTTAGTAGAAAAGAAATATACTCTCATTTCATCTGTATTATTATAGAAAATGTAGACAAAAACACTTCTGTTTCCTTGGTCATAATTATTTTCTCAGGCTAAAAAAATGTAAGAAATCATAAAAGACTCTTTGGTAAGGAAGTTCAAAGTTAAATATATTTCCTGGAACTTAAAAATGCTACCAGCACACTAAGAATCATAAACTAGTTGTTAAAGAATGGGTGTGGTTTTAGTTCTAGGAATGGTGACTTTAGATCATCTGGTAGTTAAACTCTCTCTGGAGCAATTGTAAAGAAATTTGACAGTTACTTAAAGGTCTTATAGATTTCTAGATAGGCTTCTGAGAATCTTAGGATGTTATAGTATAAATTTTGTAGTAGTTTTTTTCCTTTGATTGGTCACTTTGCCCCTATAATTCTAAGTTGAGAGCTACTGTGATTTTTTTATATAAATGTAAAAACAAACTACTGCCTGAAGAATATTAAAGTTAAACTCAGAGAAATACTAACCATTTGGAGGGAATGGAGTTTCCTTACTTAGGCTAGTTACAGAGACCTTTCTCTTTTTATCTGGTAGAGAACTTTAAAGGATTATAATGAATTTCCATTCATTGACCACAAGTTTTCCTTTTTTTTTTTTTTATCTGAAAGGCACATTGTGGAGTCATGCAAACCTGTGATTGTGCATATAAAAACTGAAAAAAAATCATTTGATAAAGAACCTAATATTTTATATTTCAGTTAGACTAGAACAGTATTTATGGAGCTATAGTGATTTGAATGCTGTGAAATTTTTTTTATTGTTGTGATGGGTGGAGGTACATTGTGGCATTTACAAAAGTTCTTATAATTTATCAAATAATATCATATGTCTTGAAGTCTGTGGAATATTCTTATGCAAGCAGATTTCATTCAGAGGCACACACATACATCAGAACTATTTTATTTCTTTCTTTAAGTAAATTAATATTCATACTGGTTTACAAGCCCAAACCAGATGAAAGTCTCTTATAGTTTCATGTATGTGGAAGGTGATTAGTCAGAATATACTAAAGAAATTGTGTTTTTGTTGTCTATAGCATGCATTTCTGCAAAAGGCAGGTTAATAGTAATCTCTTCTCTCTGGAAATCTATAGTGGGGAAATTTATTGATTAGTGTGTAGAATTATTTTTATCAAACCTACACAAAATTATAAAAACTAAAATAATGTGTATTTAAAATAAAAAATCAGAAGTCATGTCCTGTAGAAATACCCTATAAGGACCTATACACAAAATAAGCATGAATTCTATTTCTATGGTTAGAAAGGACCAATTATAGTTAAGAAGCTGTAGTGCATAAGTACAAGGTGAAAGGTGCATGACTTTCAGTTGTGTTTTCCTCTGTATTCTTAAAAAAAAGTTCCCTCCTTCTTCTTTTCTACCCCACATACCAAATCCATATATAGCCAATGACAAGGCCAGGTGGATAAATGGTTCTGCTATCTTGGTATCTTCTGTAAACCTTTATCTCTAGGATATGTGCATAAGAACTTCCATGGCTTCTGCCCTGAAATTGGAAGGACTGCTGCCTCTCTGACAGTGCCAGGGTTACCAGTCCTTCTCAGCCTAAATCCCCTCCTTCTATCCTAAAGTCTCAAGGTTACAGAAGTCTCTACCACTTTCACTACATGGTACCTTGCTATTATTGTGATGTTGGGTGGATATGCCACAAGTCAAGTTCTCTTATTCTTCATAGGTATCATCCTACCAGTCCAGACTCACATGGGTCTTTGTAGAAAAATGCATGTTTGAGCATAATTCTGACCCCATTTTTTGAGTTGAACAACTTTGTTTTCAAGGTAGTGTTGTTTTAAATAAATAATAGGTAAGAAGTGTAGATGATTATTTAAGGAAATTTCAGCAATAAAATAGAAGAAAAGCCCCATTATTTGGAAAAAAGGTTATATCCAAGTTCCTCATTATAAGATTTCTGTGAATTTTTTAAAAATTGCAAATCCCTTGAAAGAATTTGAATAACAAAACAACAAGCTATTATGTTTATAACAGCACCTGAACTAGAGTAGAAACTCATCAAGTATTTTGGTTGTATTAAAAGTTATTCAGTTTTTTCTTTTTCCTTTTTATTTTATTTTGGTGGTATTGGGATTTGAACTCAGGGCTTTGCACTTGGTAGGCAGGCACTCTGTCACTCGAGTCGCACCCCCACTGGTAAAAGTTACACAGTTAAAAAAAATTCTAAGTAGGATTCATCTGTTATATACTTTCTCCTATATTATATTTGTAGGACAATTTTTTTCTCTGCTCCTCAGGACACTAAAAAATAGAAAAAATATGTGAGATGATGACTATAAATAAATAGTGTCTCTTTCTAGTGCAACACAGTACAGTTTAGTTACAAGTTATTGTAAAGAATTGGAACCTTTCCAAAATCTTTATGAAACATGGAGTCCTTAGGAAGACTAAGGTAAAATCATATTTGCAGGCTCCCTATCTTCTAACAAATTGAAAAAACAGTGAAATGCTGAAGTGTCAAAAAGACTTTTACTGTGGTCTGTGGTTCTTTAAAAAAATAGCACAGGCTAGATGATTTCTTATATTTATTGAGCAAGCTTTTTATTGGAAGAAATTCATACAATTTTATCTCTTTTCTTTCAGGTTGTCTAAAATAATTTCTGAAAACAGAAGTAAATACTGCAGAATTATAAACAATTTGGTGGTTATATTGGAACACAGTAGGCCTCCGCATATCCCATGCTGTATTTCCTTCCTAAATGATGGTTGGTCCACCATAATTTAACAAGAGTGTAAGGATAATGGGCCATGAAACCAGAAGAAAAAGCATTGCAGTTTGGAATGAAAGGAGAATGCACTCTCACCTCAGTGTAAATGTGTGAGAAGTTGAAATCCATTGGCACATTATTATTGGATATATTCATGAGAGAAATTGTGTCCCCTGAAATATGAGGATGACATAATTTGACAGTTGGTTTGCTAATAGTATTTTACTTCTATAGACCACATTAGACTTGCAAAGTTTTTCTTTATACTTTAATACAACAAACAACTGTTTATCTGGTTAATAATAATTAGAAAAAATTAAATGTAGTTAGAATTTTAATGATTCTTAATATAGTGACAATTCAGAGAGCAATGAATTCATCTTGCCCTGTATTTGACTTGTCATAATGGACATTAACTATCACTTTTAATATTGAAGAACTGGAAAGGATAGAAAAACATTGGTCAGACATTGATCGCTGCAGTCCTCTAACTCATCCTGGAATTTGTCTGAAATAGTTACCGTCCATTTGTTTGATTTGATTTTAAAAGCCTTCTTTTCTCCATTTATTAAAATATTAAAATACCTTACAGTTAAAAAGTCATTGTCATGCACAGTAATAGGGTCAGGAGTCCTTCTATTCCAATACTGGAGCCATTGCTGGCCTGTGTTATGGGTGAATTTTGATTATGTCAGAACTAGAAGTGGCAGGCACATTCCTTGGGATTTCTGTCCCTACAGAGCCTCCATATTGTAGGGAAGCTCTTTTAATGAATACTCTGGAAACTGCCACTGATTCCAAACTGAACTCTTGGTACAGACCTTGGAAAAATGAGGGAGGTAAAACAAATTTCCCTGAGAATTGTTACAGCAATATTGTGACAAATCTCTGAAAAAGTAGGACAGTCTCTAAAACTGGGGCAGTTATGCAGTAATTAGTTAAATAATCCAGAAATAACAGCAAAACTGGAGGACCAAACTTCATTCTCTCCTGAACCGGACTATTTGGATATTTCAAATATGCAACTTGAAGAGAAATAAGAAATTGAAGGTTACCACAAGGCACTGAAAAAATACCTCAAAAGAATTAATACATTTCCTCTATTTTGCACAAAAATTGAACTCAACTCCTGCCAGGGACAGAACACATATTTCACTTAATAAGCATGCTATTGACATGAGGAAAAGGATACTCCTGTATTCACTGGATCCTCTGACATCAAATAACAAACTATTATTTCATTTTGATTAAAAATTAAAACTCAGTCCAATTTTTTTCTATGTTCCTGGAAACTCAGTAGGTGCTAGGAGCAATATACAATCTCTCTGTGAAGAAAAAATACAAAAATAACTACCAGAGAGGTCTGAAATGTTGGATGAAAATTTTGTTTTTCAGCTTTGGAAATTCTGGGCTTAGGAGCAACTGTGGGCAGTGTAGGGAAACACTGC